GGTGGACACTGGCCAGACTCTGGCATTGCAACAGTAATAGAAAGAAAAATATACACATTAACTTTGCAGTGTAGTCTAATAGCAGAGATATAAAAAAATCAAATAATCATATACCTAGATGGAAATTTACAATTGTGATACTTACAGGCCATTGAGAAAGAAAAACTCGTGACTGACCCAGAATTCATGAGTTCCTAAACTTTCCTAAGCTGGAGTAAATTCATAAACCCAATAATTTTGCATGTAGAAATTTATCCAACATAAATGCTGTCTCATTTGCTCAAATATAGATAATGAAGCTACACTGTTTATGAGTTTATAAGAAACTTTGTTCAGTGATCACAGACTGGGTCAATAAGTTATGAAATGCTGACATAGTAGAAACCTTTATGTCATTAAAAAATATTCAATAGGTAATAACATGAAAAGATCTTTTAAATATATATTACCTGAAACGAACAAACTCAAGATGCCAAAAACATGAACACAATGCAGTATAATCCCATTTATGTTAAAAGAAAATGAAAGGTGGTTTATGTATATTTATGAATACAAAGTGTCTGAAACTTTAAGAAATAGGAGGACTGTCTTTTTCACTTTTCACTTTGGAATTCTTAAGATTTTGTTTTGTTATGTGTTTGTGTGTGATGGGGGTTGTTGCTGCTTTACTCATAGGACACATAAAATCCATCAATAACACATACAGTTTTGGATACATATCCTTGGGCACCATCACAAGACTATGAAATCAAAGTTATCCAGTGACAGGATCCTAACAATTCATAATTTTATAACACTGCTTTGTGAATAGTAATAAACATGATAAAAGTTCCCCAAATGATTCTACAACTACCAGTACTGAGACTCTTAGATTATTTTTATCATAATGTGCCTTAGTATTCTCTGGTTAACATAATAAAATGGCAATCTCAGGAAAAATCCTCACATTCAATTTCATATTCTTACTGAGAGCAAAAATATTACCATAAAACTATGTGACTATTCAATAAAAAATGCATGTCATGATAAAAAAAAAATTGGTAATCATACTGATTTGAAATATCACAGTAGCAAATGCTAACTTCCAACTCCCCTTTCTCCAGTCCCTGATAACTTCCATTCTTCTTTGTGTCTCTCTAAATTTGATTACTCCAGGTAGCTCACATGGGTAGAATCACCCAGAATTTGCCCTTCTGTAACTGGCTTGTTTTACTTAGTCATGATGTGTCAGAATTGCCTCCCTAGTTAAGGCTGAGCAATTTCCCACTGTGTGTTTCTACTATATTTTGTTTATCCATTCATCTGCCAGAGTACTTGAGATTTTTTGAGTTAATTTTATTGTTCAATAAAATGCATCCATTTAAAGTGTATTAAAAAAGAAGTGTCACAGTCTCTTTCAGAATCTACAGTCTGGGAATAGCATTCAAATGAGATTTTTGTTCTTTAAGAAAAATTTACTTCAAGCTGACTTTGGATTCTAATTTCAGGTAAATTCTATACAGACTTGAAATGTGTCATCCTTCAAGCAACTATTATACAATTTTTATTAGACTCCAAAAGCCTTGATTTATGAAATGAAATAAGGATTTGAAGTAGAAAAACTGAAAATGAACTATTTCATGTCAAAATCTCAGTACCTTTAATGTTATTAGTGGTTTTTTTTTTCCATGAAAAATACTTGAGTTGGAATAATTCTTGTGGATAAAGCTATCCTCCCCCTCTAATCATGTCTTTCTACCTTGTAACAGGAATAAAACAACCTTTGAAGTGAAGAAGCATATGACTGATCTAAATTGCCCAAATGGTGATTATTAAATTCTGGATCCCCCGCTTTAGACACTAAGTAAGTTACAGTAAGTTTTCAGACTCTTAGTTTGCTTATCTGTAAAATGGAATCATGGAATCAAATCCATAGTGTTGTAACAAGTGAAAGATTAAAAATAAGTTGCCTGGAAATGTCCTGGTATACAGTAGTAGTTAGTAGTAAAGGTTTATCTTCTATCACACTTTCAAATTGCCAGGAGATAAGCCACAGACTGAGCAACTAAAGGCCACAATTTGGATTCAAATTTGACATCAAAGTTTGTGCTTTTTAATTTAACATCCTGCATCTCTTGATTCTAGCACTCATCCGATACATAGTAACTCAGTGCCAGCTCTATATAAAGTTTTAGTTTAGGCATAGCATAAATAAAAGAATGAAAAAAGATAATAAGATCTCTGTACTCTAGATTACAGTTTAGAAGAGAAATTAGAAAGGAGCATAAATTGTCATTATATAAGATGGAAGCCAATGTTGTAAGAGGCAGGTATGTGGGAAATCAGACCATAAAGAGTTAATTCCAGTTGATGGGTAGGGCAGGACTGGTGTTGAAGGATCAGCTAGTCACAAGCATGGTGTGGGGTTCAGGCCAACTACACAAAAGATGTCACTCCACAGGGTCCAGTGCAAGGAAAGAATGTGACCTCATGGGGCTTCTGGCTGTACATACTTTAAAATCTCTTTCCTATTGGCACACAGTTCAGGAGAAGGTTCTCATCAACACTAAAACCAAATGTCCATATACATTGACATTAGGATCTTAAAATCCTTATTTAACAGGACATGGAAAATAGAAGTTAAGATAAACAATTCAAACTTAGATGAGCTTACAATTTGGTAAGCTATGTCAGTGGCACAGCATCCCATGGAGTTTACAGCAAGAGCTCTGAGGTCCATTCTTGCCAGCTTAGTAGTGGAGAATAAGGTAGCCTGGCTACCTAGTGGGGACTGAGTAGACATGGAGAGAAAAATCTGTTGGCATCTTCTCAAAGCCCAGTAACCAGATGGCCATGGGCACAAAATTCCATCCTGACCATTGGCACCTCCCTGGGATGCTCTGAGCAGGGAAGGGGCCTGAAAAATGCCCTTCTCTGGCTGCCCTTCCTCCTAAGGCATATTGGTAGCACAGGAAGAGAAAAAAAAAACCTGCCTGATTATTGCCAAGGGAAGAAGAAATAGCCTTTAAAATCTAGGCTACTGCAGCCTCCTGGGTACTCAATCTGGTGCCTTTCAAACAACTAGAGAGAATTTTAAAGAAGTGTAACTGATTTCCTCTAGGACAGAACAACATCAATTGATTCCATTCAAAGCTGGGCATAGGATAACAAGCCAAGAAGGTGGAGGAGCCTGAGATTTCTGTAATCAGACTAGCTATGTCAGGTATATGGCACAAAATTACATTACCTCTTTTATAATTTGTACGTTGGTGCATTTGTATTCTCTAAGGATAAGTGCCACTTTGCAGAGGTTTGCTAATTAGGAATTTTAAAACTTTGATGAAGAACCATTTTTTTCTGAAACTTATAGATTCATTTAGTTTGGAATATTGTCTAACATTTAGATACCTTAACTAATTGGCTTTGAAACACTTACCTATTACACACACACACATACACACACACACACCCATTCCTTAGTCTTGCTATGCCTTTGAATGGACTTTTCCACAGCAAATAAAATATAATATCAAACTACTGCTTTGTATCCCAAGAAAATATCAACTGAGTTTCAGGAGAAGACCTCTAATAAAAGTCAAACTAAAATAAGATAGGCGATATTCCAATATGAATTATATGTACATAAAAAAATTGACTAATTTGCATATTCAAATCAGATTTAGGTATACTTGAGAACTTCTCTGCAAGAAAAAATCACACCCAATGTATCTAAGGTCCCCTTACATTCTTTTTATAAAATGCATAGGATGTGCTATTGTATAAAGACACATTTTAAGAGCAGATACCTTGTTATTTCAATTCTCTTAGGAACTGAAACCATTTAACAATATTCAGTAAACCATATGAATAGTCAATATTATTATTAACTAACCATAACAATTATTTCAAAACCACCATATCAGCTAGAAGGTAGCTAGTTTGGAGGAGTGTCTGATCATAATTTGGGTCAAGACAGAGAAGTCATAATCAACTACTGACTGTGGAGCTTATTTCAGTATCTCATGACAGCATACAATATTTTATCAAATAAATATATACCTTTAGCAAATGCTGTGCCAAAAATATTTTAATTAAATATGACAATACTATGATCAAGGAAAATATTCAAGACATATTTGTTAAAATTGAGATTCTATCAAACTACTCCAAAGATATAAAAAATAAGCCCATAAATAAAAGGTAAGGGGCCGGGGTAAGTGCAAATGAAATTTGGTTAAGTGATAGAAACTCAATCAATTCTTTTATGTATATACAGCCACTTTTCAAAAGTATATGATCAAAAATTGTTTCCCTAGGAGATCAAGTAAAATTGCTAGATAAGTTTCTCTTTTAATTCCCATAATGGGGAAGAGATTTCCACTCACTCTTTAGGAGAAACTTTCTCAATACTGTGCCCTTACTGACTCCTCCTCAGAGAATGACTTGTGATGACTCTGGCAGGGCCCAGTATTTTGGCTCTATTGTGCTCCTCAACTGCATCTGTTGTAAGTAAGTGAGGCTATGCCCTCTATCCCAAGGGGGTGACTGAGGCTTACTGGCAGTTCCTGAGGTGAAGATTGGATGGGAAAAGGATCGGTAAATCTGAGAGTAAATTTTTTTCAAATTCTTTATAAGGAACTACGCTCATATTTTCTCTCCCTGTAAATCTAATAGAATAAAGGAGCAGACCCCAGATTGTTTTTTGATTTTGCTCATTCTTCCTTTGATAACTGATACCTCAAGTTTGATTAATATGAAATGGGGTTTGTGCCTAAACCTTGCAAAAATATTGTGATCCCCTGTGTGTAGGGCCCATTTTGGTATGGCCCATTTGAAAACACTTTGCTCTTATGTCCTCAAGCCCAATGCTGGGAGAGCTAAGTAAAATAAAATCCTTATCACAACATGCAAATTCCTCACAATTCTTTCTCCCATGAGTAAGCACAGAACATGCTCTAGAGAAGTAAACACCCAAGGTTAAAACACAATTAGCTCCTAATGTAGCATTTAAACATGAGTACCTCCAGCCAGGATCCTCTCTTCTAATTCTGCCATTTGCATCTTATAGGCTTTTAAAGCTGCTTCTTTGAAAGAAGGACGGATTCTCTTTGGCTTCGTGATTTCCATTGGTTGTTCAGGGATGTTTTGATTTTCATCTTCTTTGACTTCCATTTCAGCTATTTCATTTAAAGATTCCAGTCCCTCTTCACTAACCACATCATCTTCCTGCCCATCATAACCCTCATCTTGTGGGGTTTCATAAGGTGTTTCATATGAAGGGTGATCATATTCCTGCATTTGTTCATCTGTTTCTGTCATGCTCGTTCTGTTTTCTAGCTTAGCAAGCACTTGCTCCATCACTTCAACATAATCTGTTTCATTATCAGCCACTGCTTCACTGTAGTCCTCCTCATCCTCTGCTTTGTAGTAATAAGGCTCTGTGTAGACATCAGAGTCAAGGGTAGTACTTGATTCATTTGCAGTTGATTGGGATAATGTCCGAAATCTCCCCATTAAGGAAGAACCACTGTCCTCATATCCACTGAGACTCTGTGTGCTTTTGTTCCATACCACTTCCAAGGCTGATTTAGCCCTCTGTAGTGTAGATCCAAATTTTGGGAAGCTGAAAGCCTTATCAGAGAGGTCAATGCTTAATCGACTATGCCAAGATTTGGATGGGGCATCCTCTGAATAATCGCTTTGTAGTTCACTTTGACTTCGGTACATCATGGACAACTGATTCTGATTTTGGTACAGCTCATTAGAATTAGCTTCCTGATAAGAATCATATGGGCCAACCCATTGGCCTTGTGGTTCATTATCCAAGCCAGGACAAGGAGATGAGTTGTCATCTTGGGTTAAGTCATAGCTCTCAGAGTCATCCTGAAGGTCACTGTGGCACTTTCCCAGGTCTTCCAGGTCTTTACTGTAAGCATCTAGCTGTTGATCTGATAGACTGTTTGTGTCATAGTCAAAAGCTTCCCGGGTAGATGAATCCAAACCTAAATCAGCTCCTTGCTCTACTTGATTCCATTCCTTCCATGGAGAAAGATCCTCATGTAAAGAAAGTTGAGAATCACTGTAATGACTTCGGTCTCCAGATGCACATATCATGCCATTACTCATTCCACTGTCCACAGTTTCTGTGTTCTCAATTTCACTCTGCCCTTGGATGCCCTGGACAGTCGCATTTACATGCTGGTTGTGAGACCTGTCATACAAGGTAGGTATGTCCTCCTGTTTCCTCTGCCAAAGTTCCCGATCTGAAGATGACAGGAGGGAGCTTCCATTAGTTCTAGTGAAAAACTGATTTTCTGAAAAATCCTCTGAGTAAGATTGACACAATTTGGAAAAATCTGACTCAGAACGACTAAGTTTAGCAGTGAAAAAATCACTCTGTGAATGCCAGAGAGGTGCTGCATCTGCATACTGGGTTGTAGTCTGCTTTCCCAAGTTAGTCGATTCTTGCAATTGTGGGGAAATTTTATCATAGCCTGATTTATTCGAAATTCTGCTATTAGTAGTTTTATTCTTGGATCTGACATTGTGTGATTTTGAACTTGATTTGGAAGTACTTCCTTTTGCTGGAAACTCTGACTTGGTAAGCACAGCATAACTATTCCTATTGAGGTCAGACTGTAGTTCTCCATCACTATTATCAGGTGACTGCCAATTGTTCTTCTTGACTTTGGGCTCTGGTGTAGACAGCTTCATATCCATGCTCTCATATGTCTGGGAGGATGGTATCAGTCTCTCTTTTCTTTCTTTGATGTCATGAGTAAGAATATCAGTTGAGATTCCTATGCCTGTTCCTTTGAGTTTATATGATTTTTTCAATACAGAGTCCCTTTGCTGAGGGGTCTCAAAGTACACAAGTATGGGTCGAGGCTTTGCACTTGGGCAGTCCCTTTGGTGTCCTATCCTCTGAGCAAATTCAATTTTAACAGCATTTGCTGCATCTGAAAACCCCATTTTTTCTATCAGAATTTGGTACACCACACTTTCAACATATTCAAATCTTTCTTCAGGCACATTTAAAAATCTCAGGCTTGCCTTACCACCCATATGACCTAAGTGTTTAATGTAATCATGGATGTCTCTGGTTTCCCTTCGAGACTGGACAAATCCTGTTCGTAGCTGTTCAATTTCACTTTGTACAACCTCCACGCTACTGGAGATCTCATCAATGGAATGTTTAAGAGCATTGACATGTCCTCGTAGTTCAGAAAGTTCTGTTTCTATCTGACTTATTCCCTGAAGTTCCTTAAAGATCATTTCCATGACATCATGTGTTTGGCTAATGCAGCCAGAGGAACTGAATCCTGGTTCCAAGGTATTTGTCTTTGGGTTTCGGGCAGTTCTGTCCAAAGATTTGCTTCTTATCCCCCAGGTTTTCTTCATTGTGCTCAATTCTGAATCTGAGGAGACACACTCTTGACTCTTTTTCCATTTCCTCAGCTTGCGTAAAGCTCCTAGTTTTAAGCTATGAAGAGTGCGTTCCCCATCAGAGCTGCCCTCAGAAGGTGCCAGGCTGCTGGAACTCTTTCTATTTCGTCTTACTGGCATTATGGGTGTTGACTGTGTCTGGTTTTCTGTACTACTCCTTAGTTCATTTAGTGATTCTGAATAGGAACTTTCAATTGATGATAACTCTTGAAGCAGATCCTCATTATCACTGTTGGTTACATTAACATTCTTTTGCAGACCATTGGCAATGGCTACTCGGTAACTGAATGTTGGAGAGAGAGAAAATTCTTTATTAGCTTCGTCTTCCTCAGTGGAGAGGTTGCGAGCAGATGAACACTTTGCAATCCTCTTTACAGTACTTTTCAAGGTATTAGAAAATTTAGGGGGTTTGTTCTGGTCAGCAGTAGGAAAATCTTGATCCTTTTTCTGCTGACGATTCTCCTTTTTTTTGGTTGTATTTCCCAATTTCTTTGTAAACATTCCTTTGCAGAGCTTATGTATATAAGGTAAAATCAATCTCTTGAAAAGATGAGCCACCATGGAGAGCAATTAGTGCAAGCTTTTCTAGTCCAAAGAAGTAAACAAGGTAACAGAATGAAAATTTGTAAATCCAAGGCAAGCATCACTGTTGAGATGTTCTGTGTATCACTGAAAAGAGCAGCAAGGGCAATTGTGGTTCTGCCACAATGTCAATGCCCTGCACAAAACAGAAGCAAAACTCCATTTATGAAAGATATTCTCTCCTGGAGGAGCGGTTTCATAAACCTTTCTCATTTCCACATAACTTCATGTATTTCCTAAAAAAAAAAAAAAAGGAATGTGAAAATGAATATCAATATTCAGTTTTAGATTTATTTCATTTCCAATATTTTCCAAGAGTATCCAACATACACAGAGGGGACAAAAGGATATCTTACTTTTCACACACAGTTACTTTAAAAAAAAAACTAAAAGCAAATCAGTTTCCATAATGATATTTAAATTTGTATTTTTTCTTAAACTGCTTATGGGTCAGCAAAGTTGAAATAATAATAAAAGATAATACTGATTATTTAAAAAGGCTATATAATATGACAGGTAAATTTTTTAAAACTGTATTAACTGTATGATGTTATTACTTCCACTATATTTTCTTTTCTGAAGTTTCATTTGACTTATGCAAACATAATCATTTAAATTTAAATGTATTCCCCCCACCCAAGATAATTAAAATTCATCAGTTAATATTATCCATGCATATAAAATCTTTTCTTATTTGAATTTTCTTTTACTACTCTCAGTATTCAAAGTTTGAAAAATTTTTAAATAATTATTAAAGTAATGTAAGTAAAAAAATATTTTATATGATGAAGTAAATACCAAAAACAAATATAAATTAGTCATCAAGTGTGATAATGGAATATCATGAGTTCAAAAAATTAGAAAGTTCCATCAAATTGGGCATTGCATCAACAGTTAAAACAAAATGGGTCAATGCATTTGAAAATGTAGGTAAATCCATCTAAGTTTGATGATGATTAACTTCTTGAAGTATATGAAGGAGATGAAGGAGGAGGGGAGAAGTCAGAGGAGGGGGAAAGAGAGGAGGAAGAGAAAAGTTTACTTCTTGCTGGTTCACTAGCAGCATGATTTGCAAATGCTATGCATTCAAATAAAATTTTGGAATTGAACTGACTACCTCTGAAATTTATCACAGAGTAACAGTAATCATCAAACATCTTTGTTGATATCTGACTACGTATTTGGGTAGATAAATAATCTATTTAATTATTTAAAGAACACATCATAAACTGCATATGGCTTTAGCAGCCTGCTAATCTCAATTCCCTCCACTTGGAAATCTGCCAGTTTCACTTCACTCAGGATCTGCAGGGACCTGGAGAACACATGGTCTGGACAGCAGCCAAGCTTGCCAAAAGACAGGGTGATATAAATAAGAAAGGCAAACTAAAAGATGGAGGGAAAAAAAGGAGTCTAAAGAAGGCCATATCTTCTGGAATTCACAAGCTGTCAGTCTAATTCCTCCTGTCTGAAACAATTACAAGCCAGGAACTGTTTTCTACTAATACATATGTCAAGAAATTGACTCTTGAATTAAATCCAAAAAGATTAATTGTACTCCCTATGCAACCCCTCCTTGTGAAGAAAAGACTTTGGATAGGTAAGCAGAGGTAGATACATTATTTTATAATTCATATTGGCAGAGCTAACAGTTCTGCTAATCACTCAGTCCAAGATCCTCAGTCTCCCAAACCTAGGTTTTTTTCCAAAGGAAAGAAATTCTGTCAATGATTCTGATATTGTCAAGAAAATGTGTCTGGGCTTCCCGATCTGCAATATTAGTTAAAAATTATTGTTCTAGGGAATAAATGTTGGACAATTTTTGAGTAGGAAATTCAACCTGAGTTGAAGTCCTGCTTCAAAAACAGAAACCCAAAGGCATGTGTCCACTGTTGCACATATAGACTCACTGGCTTTATATTCCGACCACAAAGAATGATTTGTTATTCACTAAGGACTCTATGCTCTTTCACACCCCAGTAACTTCTGTTCTCTCTACCCAGAAAATCATTCATATCCAGCCCTTCTCATCAATAAAAGTTGTGCTTAAATTCCAAAATCACTTGTCCCATAGAAACTTCACCAACTACCCAGTCCAACTTTCGCTCTCATTGCCAGGCTTAGCAACCCAGGTCACAGGTAATTAGAATTTATCTGCATTATAATCTCATTTCTGTCTTCATCTACTGAACTGCATAGGTAAAAACTATGACTTGTTAAATTTTAAGCATCCTCAACTTAGTAAACGTTAAGTACTTAATAAATGTTTATTGAAGAAATGGCCCAAAGAGTACAAAGTTTCAATTATGTAAGATATAAATCCGAGAAACCTATTGTACAGCATAATATCTATAATAATTACATACTTGAACTGATTGCATATTTAAAATTTTGTCTTATGTTTTATATTCATATCACAAAATCATCATCATCATCAACGAAGGAAAATGGGAAGAAACTTTTGGAAATAATGCATGTGTATATGCCATAGACTGTACTGATAATTTCAAAAATGTTCACTTATCTCCAAGCATAAAAAATAAAAGAATTGACCCATTTTTCAGCTGGTTGCTTTATCTGGTTTGCCCAAAATAAAGCCTAAAACCTAGTTGCTTTCCTGAATTATTACTCTCAATCATCTTCATCTTAATTATGAGATACCAGTAAGTGTTCTTTATAAGAAAACCCTAACAAGGTCCTTCACTTACCTCTCTTTGTCTTTTGAGACTTATTTTCCTTTCTTCTGACTGCCAAAGCACTGTCTTTATTAGCTTCTCTCCTTTTCACTAATTCTTAGTTTAAGTTGACCAGTTTGATATAAATGATCTTTAACATCACAAACTCTATAATTTCAAATTTATCTTCCTTCACAAACTACAATGTTTTCAAATCTTCTCAGCTCATAGTAACTACTGAAGAAAACAAACATTCTCTTTCTTACACAGATGGGACCTAGCACCCCTCCATTGCTTTGCCCCAAATTTCTAACCAGTTCTAAATTTTATGGTCCTTAACTTGATAATTCCTCATTCCCCAAAACTATGACCTAGAACTATGACCTTGGTTCAGGCACTCACCAATGTTCACTTCAGGTCATTACCTTCTTTCAGAAAAGAAAAATTTCACATAAAAATAATTTTATGTAGGTCCTAAAATATTCCAGTTATTGTATTAAACACATTAAAATACATAAATTCTCTTAATCCTCACCACAGACACTTGACTACTGATGTGACTTCCTGGCTGTTCTTCTCACCTCAGTGAGTGTGCATAACTTTAGATATGTCCTTTTTCTGTAGTAAAAGTAGAATTTTAAATATTAATGAATGCTGCGCCACATGGCAAGCGAACAAAACTGAGGTGCTTACATAATTATTATTCTCTCTCCCTTCCCCTTTAGTGCGATTTCCTCTACACAATGGAACTTCCTTTGATTCCAACTCTTGGGTGAGAGTCAATTACTTATGCTTCAAAGCAGGCAAGCAAAATGGGTGTGGCACTTAGAACTATAATTAAAATTAGTGTCTCACTAAACAGAGCTGTACTTTCATCCTTTTCTTGTATCACGCAGTGCTTTTAAGAAAATCCATAAAGTGATTGTTTCAATATACCTAGTAGCAAGACATCTTGCAGCTTTTTAAAGACAGTGTTTTCCACATAATAATAGGCAATACATGAGCCCAATGAAGAATTCAAAAGATCAAGGTTAGATCTTTATATTTTTCTTAGATTTTTCTTAGAGAATACTAAATTATACATGTAAAACCTCTAGTTTAAAGCTGAAACATGCTTAGTATCAATTAGCTCTTAACTCAAAGAGCTTCTGGGAATAAATAATCAGAACAGACATAGTTACTAACTTGATCTATGGGAAATCTAGTAGTTGATGCAATTGAAACAATAGGAAGACATTAAGAAGGCAATACAAAAATTGCTACATCTCTAATAACCACAGGTACAAAAAGTATAAAATATCTATTTTTCCAAATTCAAGTTTTCTGAAGGTGCTTCTCACAAAAGAAGTTAAGTCTTTCTTCCCTCATATAAGCCATATGCAGATTCAGGCTCTGGTTGGATCTTCGTTCACCTGACTACCTAACTCAGCTCAGATCTTTTATTTAGGCCTTAATAAAGCAAAAATCCAAAAGCATGCAGTGGGAGATTAGAGAGACTATTTTCTCACCAGGAACCATAATCTTCTAATTTTTTAAAACTTTAGATCATTTAAAAAGATAATTAAACATAATTTTTAAACTAATTTGTGAGAAAGCCCTCTGAGTAAATTTCTGTGCCTTATGAGGAAGAAGGACATAACAGGGGTGTTTCAGAGAGCAAACACTTCCCAGTATAACCTTGATATTAAAATCAATGCAATTTTAACCATAATATCTGTATCATAGCTTCCATCTAAATCTGCCCTCAGAATTCAAGGAAAGATGTGGTGCACCATAGTTGTGGTGAGCCACAGATAACTCCTCTGGGACTAAGTCACTCATTCCTCCAACTGCAGAGAGTGTTATATCCATTGACAAATATGACTGCTGAGTCACTCTCTGAGAATGACCTATGACCTTGGGGTTAGCCCCTCTCCTCTGGGGAAGCCCATATCCAATGACTAATTGATGCGAGTGTTAAAATACCAAGACATCTTGCTTTAATACAAGGGCTATCTCACCATCAGAGCTTCCCATAAGATTGACTTGAGATCTCTGTTGCAAAAGCATTGCAGTTCAGCTTTTCCCTCTACCTAATCCAAAAGAATTTCTGCACATATATCTTTTTTATAGTCTGTTTCTAAGGAAATGTGAAGAAAGTTGGGAGCACTGAGGAAGTGACTCAGTATATATTTTATCTGAATCCTCTCTGTTAGACTGGCAATGAGGATCTAACCACTGATGCTATAAGGAAATCTGATAGCCTATTGTACATTGTCACACAGCAATTGTTAAAATACAGGCAAGTGGCAGACTGGGGTGGGATAGCAGTAGAAAAAAAAATGAACTTTTGTGTACAATATCTCAAGATATGTGAAAGGTTGAGGGAAAGAGGTGATTAGCCCTTTGGAATAGAACAGCTATTGTCCAGGTCTCTTGATACAGTGAGAAAGTCAATGAAAGACTAACAGTGTTTAGTTACCTACGTAAAACTAAGTATAAGACAGTGTCATCCATGTTACCAGATCAATAAATTCTGACCTTTTGCAGCAGATACAGACAAAGATGAGAAACTTCACTACCATGTATTTATAAATAGGAACTGAGAAAGTACTTATGAAATGTAGTCTGTGAGTACTAAATCAATGAGGAAGTATATAAAGTTAAATAGGAAATTCACTGCTATGGTAGTACTCTCCTTTCATATTGAATTTAACACCTGAAAAAGACAAAAGGAGCAGAGGTTCTTGGAAGCTTAGAAAAAATTATCATGTACACTAAATAAAAATAGTATGGTTAACAGTAAAGAAAGAGATCATAAGTTTTAGAGAAGTAGATATTTATTACATAAAGCTAGAAAATGTATCATTCAAAAATGTTTCATGAAAGGACACACCATTTATCAATTAAATAGGAAATATGATGTTGATTTTCTCCATTTGGTACAAACAAGAATGTGCAGTCTTTCCCCGATCTATGTTAATTGGAGTTACAGACCGGCCATTTACTCCATCATGCAGTGGAACCTACACCACCTGAACATTCTGAAGAGTATCTCCCTGATCTACCACATTAATGATATCCTATTAACTGGATCTAGTCAGCAAAAAGTAGCAAGAAGGTTGTCAAGAAGACCTTGATATGATAGATGAACTGCAGTGGAAGATTAACCTTAGGGTGATAAATGATATAGAGGACACCCCTATTGCCTCCAAAGTAAAGATCAATCATTCATTGCCTCTCATATCCAAAGTGTGGTGATCTTTCAGATTCTGAAGAAAATAGAATCCATATTTTGGAATATATTCTGACACATATGCTGGTAATAAGAAAAGCCAACACGGTTCAGACCTATAGATAAAGACATCTGTTGTGAGAAAGAAAGTCATGCTGTGGAATTTATAGTGAACTCCAATAGGAGAATCATAGTGTTGACCACTCAGGTTCTAGAGAAAGGGCATGTCACCTGTAGTGGAGTACTGTACAGGATTAAATACTATTTTCCAATCTGCAACTGGGCCCAAATACATATGGAGAACTTGAATATGTGGCATTGATGGACCATGCTATCAGAGCCATCATAAATTAGAACTGCGTTTTAATTCATGAAATCATAAGATTGGGTAAAACCAACAGTAACTCACCATAAGATGGAAAAAGTATATCTGGGATTATCAGCCCTCAACAGGGTTATAAGGCACAAGCAAGCTGCATGAGCGTGTGGTCTAGACTTTTGTCATCCACTACCACCACTATTGTATGTGTCTGTCTTTTTCCCATTCCACTCCTCCCTCCCTCCCTCCCTTCTCTCTTCTCTCTCTCTTATTGGCAGGTATCTCTTGGAGATCGCTAAGGGAACGAGAAAAAAAATCTGAACTCAGTGTATGGATGGTTATTTCAGTATGTTGAGTGTTTCAATATGTGTGTAGTCTACGAAAATTGATATTGATGCATAGGCCCACTCAACACAGCACTAAATGACAATAGTGAAAAAAGTCTTCCTAATGGAGAAAAACTAAGATTGTTACCTGATCTTCCACTTTGCATGGAAAGAGAAGCTGCCCACAGAAGAATATATGTAAACTCATGAGCAGTGGTAATTAACTTGATTAATCTGTCATGAACCTGTAAAAAAAAAATGGAATATTGGGGTTAAGAGAATTAGGGGAGAGGCATAAAGGAAAGTGTTCAAAGTAAAAATTTTTGTGTTACATATTTAGGCCAAACTAAGAGCATCTACCATGAAAATGACCATAAATAATCAAGTAAATAGAATTATTTGACCAAGTGTGCTTGAGATGGATTATGCACGAATTCAACACCGGTTTTCTATTCACCAAGGCTGATCTAGGTTCTGCTGTAATTGAATTAACAATCTACCAGCAACATATACCAATGCTGAGCACCTAGTACAAAAACACCTTTCAAGAAGGCTTTCTAGCTACTTGGTAGCTATTGATTACACTGAACTTCTACTCGTCAGGACAATACTTCATTTTAACTAGAATCAACAAAATTCCAAATATTAATTTGCCTTTCTCATCCACACAATTTCATTAGACTAAAGGGACTACTTCACAATCGTGGATATGCAGCTGTGGACTCCTGAACATGGACTCCTCCAGTCCTATGACATATCATATCAAAGCCCAGAAACTTCCAATCTCGTAATTTTTTTAATCGCCTTCAAAGACACATTTGAGGTGTCAGTTTAGAAATTATTTCCTGAAAGGATATGATACCACATTTAATGATACAGTGTATATTCTAAATCAATGACCATCACATGTTATTTTGTGCCTACTAAATAGAATATATGTATCTAGAAACCAAGAAATGGATATATTTGTTATCATTTTCAATGTTTCACTTGAAGTATTTATACTTCCTATCCACACAACTTTGATCTCTGTGATTACAAGCACCTGATTCCCAAAGGAGGTTCACTCTGAGGACACACAATGAATGCACATAAAATCTTAAAATATAGTTGTCACTGATTACTTTATATTTATGACAGGAGGAGCCAACTCTAATCAGTAGGAGAAGCAGGACTGAAGTTATCCTGTGGGGAAAAGGAAGAAAATGTTTGGAACCAAGGCAACTTGGTGGAAACTCTTGCCTGATTTGATGATAAGTGGAAAAAATGGTAAAATTACCAAGATTTCAAGCCCATCACAGAGGATATTTTGGGTCACTCCATCAGGTAAGCTACCTAGACTAGTAGAAGTGCTAGCCATGGTTAGGAAATATCTAAAATGAGAGGTATAAGAGGGAGATGATGCACTATAGTCTTGAAAACAATAACAATTACAGAGGCTCTAGTTCATTCCAATGACATTCTTCATGAAAGTGTTCCCCAGGAAAAGAGAACAGCCAGCTATCCCAGATGTTCTTAACTTGCAATGTGAAACAAGTGAGTTTAAGTGCTCAGGGAAAATTATAACGGGTGGCAGAGTATGGTTCCTTCAGGGACTCATTCCCTGAGTCAAATTCTGTAAATGGCCCTCAAGAAAATAGAGCCTTGGTTTGTGCACTGAGACAGTTAATGTTTTTTTTTTTCCATACTACCCCTGAATATTTCCTCATTTTGGCCTTTATATTATGTAACTACAGATCTACAAAAATATATTTATTTTCACATTATAAGTAGCAGAATCAGGTAATGAATAACAAAATATAATAATAATAGTTGTCATTACACATGTTTGCTTTGTCCCAGGAACTATGTTGAATATTTTAAAAATATTTCATGTAATGATGGCAAGAATCCTCTGAAAAAATATACAATTCATGTTGTGGAGAGGAAGAAACTATGACTTGGTGTAACTAAGCATCTTACCTAATATCACAATTCTAAAAAGTGGTAGTACTCATATCTGAAAATAGAATATGATCATTCTTATATCTATATCTATCTGTCATAAAATACATAAAGTACATACTAGCAAAAAATGAAAAGTACATACTGAAATCAGAGAAAACATCATTTGGATTCAAACTTTCTGCTTGTCCATTTAAATATACTAAATATAAATGTACCAAGTATTCTACTGAAAAGGCCCCATATTGATAGACTGTATACCTAAAGGAAGAAATCCTCTAACTGCAAAATACTAACAAGGATGTAAACCAATGTTACTTTAATAAAAATATCAAAAATCATTCCTAATGGATATTATTAGGAAATTCCATCTCCAAGGCAAATTCTCCATCTCCCAGCTTTTTTCAGATCTGGAACACTAAATCAGTCATTTCCTAGCATGTGGTGGAGTTCACCTAGCATGTGGAGTTGGCCTGAACCTTGAAGCTGAGAGGCACAGATATACCTAGTCCTAGAAATACAGATTGTGAAGTAAATATTTTCCCCCACATCTGGCCTCTTTGATTACCATTTCTATCCCAGTTAACTATTACTTTCTCTGCCTTAAGTGTATAATTTCTCAAATTTTACCTGACATAATACAACTTTCAGGAATCTAGCATCTAGAGATGTTAATAGCTGATTACAGCCTAGATTATTTGCCTTTCTGGAACATTTGTAAGAATTTTAGAGTAACAAAGCACTGATTTTCTGGGGGAGGATAGGTTTTTTCCCTCCTAAATTTAAGAGCTTCGTGACCCTGAAATCTTACAAAATAAGCGAAGACTAATTTGCTAGTTCTAAAACACTTATTTTCTTTAAACTATTTTTCATTTTCTACCAATTCAAACTTTACTGGTAACAAAACTTAAATCCACATATACTATAAAAGAGACAGTAGAAAGAAAATTCTCAATCATTAGAAGAATGAGGTAGGAAATATATATATATTATCACTACTGAAAAATTTTTAAATAACAGATTTTAATATATTATCATGTAACATTTAGGTGTGACGCCAACATTTTTCTCATACACAAAAATGAGCAGACCAATTGAAGTTAAGAATTTTGTCACCGATTTCTTAGCCAGCAGAGGGCAAGATAGTCCATCCTCTGTACTTTTGTTCTGCAGTTAATTTTCTTAATCGTTCATTGTTTTTTCTTGAAAACTACAATTCTTTAGTTATTATTTGTAATCTCTCTGTGATGACACCACTGATACATAGAATAATTGTCTGCATCTTTAGAACAATTTAAAGAGTTTCAAATAAATAAGGGATGAGATACAAAACAGCTGTGTTTTCATAGGGAAAGAGACATCCAGAAATAGTGGTAATTGTCATGGCTTGTTTTCCTTGGTTTCCTTTTGGTTTACATTCTTCCAACATTATGAGTTCTTCCCAATTAAGTAATCCCTACCTCATTACCCAGTGTATGGATAGTGTTCAGAATCAGAGAAGTAAGCATAAAAATAGTCTTATTGGCAATCCATCCAACTTTTCCTCTAATTTTCATATTGTTAGTGTCAGGAATCTCTGTTAGCAGACATGCAGGACAACTGCACCATTATGTCTCAGCACCAAGGACAGCTACCTTTTAAATGTGGTCATTTTTGAAAGACTGCTTCTAAAGAAAATGTTCAGATATGCAATACATAAACAAATTCATATTTAAAAAATAGGTAGCCAATGCATTGATACTTGCTTTACAAATGTATTCAGCACAATTTTCCAGAAAACTGTAAGACAATTTCCTAAGAAATTTAACATTAATATAAGCTTGTAGATATTTTGCAAACATCCGTGATGCTTCAATTAAGAAACACCTGAACACATATTCAAAGCAGTCTTCCATCTGGATTGTAGTAAGCCGTGTCTGTATCCAACAGTAAAAATAAAATAAAAGCGATAGGAAAAAGGGAAACATGTGCACATTTGATAAGAAAATAGATGAAGTAAGAACGGTAGTTTCAATATAAAATCACTGCTCTGCCTTGTTGTCTTCAGGAATTATCTGGAATAATTATTTTCTGATTTTGTCCCTGAATATTTTACCAAGCTATTATGTCAGGTAGGAACCAAGAAAGATTGCCAGATTTGATTTTTTTTTACAACTAAGCAGTACTTATTAATCAGAATTTGTTGACAGTTTTCCAAGTTTGTAATTGAGGTTGCATAACCTCAATGAGGTTTATCTTCATTTACAAAAGCAAATTGAGCCACAGTGCAGAGATGAGAAATATTTGACCAAACTTTGGAAGGGAGGTATTTATTTAATAAAATCCAAAATACTGAACAATATGCTGTTATTAGTGGGATAGCTCAATTTACTCTGTAACAGTCTACTCAAACCAAGCATGCTTTCTGTCGGTCTTCTCTCTCTTATATGGTTACAAAAGTCACTCCTTGGAAAAACAAGTAACCCTCGTAATTGAATAGTGTTCTACAGAGAATAAATTACTAGTGAAGATGAAGAAGTGAAAGATAATCTCAGCCTCCTATATATTCTTATTCACTAGTTATTTTTTTTAATTTTAATGCAAAATAAAAAAAAAATACTGACATTATGGAGATAGCAACACTTTATTCAATCACCCAACAAATATTCATTGAGTACTACCTTTGTGTTGGGAGCCAAAGTCTGAGAGCAAAGCTCTACTAAATTTGGTAGCTATAATTGGGAGCAAAACAGCAATCTCCCTGTCCTGTGTAAGATTAGAATAGGCAGGGAAATTTATTTAAACAGGAAATTTCAACAAACAATAGTTATTTTCTTTCTAAGCATTTCCACCAAAAAGTTATCCTTTGATACCTACCAACAACCCTACTCCTCACCATACAGTCTGTGCTTTCATCTGACACATGATTTTACCTGTGTGCTTGAATTAAATGTACTTGAGGGGCCTCCCCAGTGGCGCAGCAGTTGAGTGCTGGGTTGCAAAGCTGCCCGCAGCCTCTGCAGTGCTGGTTCGATCCCTGGCTGCTCCCCGGCCACCGGAGGAGGGTCCCACATGGCGCACAGACCTCTCCTGCCGCCTGCTGCTCCCCTCAGCAGTGTACTTCGGTCCTTCTGCCTGCTCTGCTCCCCGCTCTGGCTCTGGTGAATTCTCTCACCCTCCCGCACTTCTGACTGTACCCAGTGCTTGTATCAATGAATGAATGAATGAATAAATAAATAAATAAATAAATCTTTTAAAAAAATGTACTTGAATCAAATGTGCTTTCATTTCGCCCTGACCAGACTGTCACTGTTGCAACATG